ACTAAGTTACCGAAAAAAATAAGAATTGCGCAGTCATAATGATTTTAAAAAACCACAACAAATTCTTATGGTGTTTTTAGAAAACGTAAATATCAAAAAATAATACTTCCACTCAACAAAAATCACTCAAATGTGAGAAAATCAAGAAAATATAATCTTACACCAATTTATAAAATTTCATCAACCTAACTAAAACGGTATGCAAGTTATCGGTGTTTAAAAAAACCGAAAGTAGTGTAAGGTACCATCTTAAATAAACCGGGAGTGATCTCCCCTAAACTTTCTCGAATATTCTTATATAAAACAACAGGGGATGGGAACTCGGGATATAGATATAATTTTTAATCCATTTTAAATACTTAAACTTTTTAAAATAGAATAAAATCTTGTAGAAAAAAGAATTGCACACCAAGTGAACGCCAAATAAAATGTGCGGAATATTATTAGTACTTTATAAATTTACATTAGTTTTTTTTGAGAAATCGGAAATAGCCAAAATTACTGCTTTCGTGAAATTTCATTTATCTATCTGAAATAGCACTAAAGTTATAGGCTTTTGAAAAATTAAAAGTAGAAAAAGTCCCACTTCCCGTTATCGGAAATCACTCAAAAGTTGATACGGATCTACGATTTTGATATAATACTTATATATGAAATTTCATCAAAATAGCTGCAACGGCACTCAAGTTATCGTGTTTACAGACACACAGACACACACACACACACACTCACAGATATACGGACAAGATTGCACAACTATGTTTTTCCGACTCAGGGAGCTGTAAAACGTCGAGATCAGAGTTTCTTCCAGGCAACTCTTCGGGGGGGGGGGGGGGGGGGGGGGGCAAAGCCCCCCCCCGAAATGTTTTTACTGCCCCCCCGAACGAAATGAAATTTATATAATTTATATAGAAAATATATACTTTTAACAGTGTCCGCCCCCCCCCCCCCCCGAAGAAAGTTTACCGCCCCCCCCGAAGATTTCAAGTGCCCCCCCAGGATAAAAAAGTCTGGAAGAAACACTGGTCGAGATCTGCAAAATCTCAATTTTTGTTTTTGCGCGATTACAAGACTTTCTGTATACTTCGTATATACGAGAAAGTAAAAATCAGAGATCACTCAAAATTTAACAGTGATCAAACATAAGATCTTACACATATATATGAAACTTCGTCTTCTTAATTGAAACAAATGTTAAGATATCGTGTTCACACGAACATAGAGTAAAGTAAAACCTACGTGTAGCGGACATCTTTTGAAAATTGAAAGAAACCTGCGTGTACAAAGTTATACTTGTGACTGAAATTTCTTCCATCTTTCTCAAATGGTATTCAAGCTATAGGCTTTTGAGAAACCGGAAGTTGAGTAAGCGCCATTTTCTTTTTACGGAAAAAAACTCAAAAGTTGATGACAAACTACAAATCTATAATATAAGGCTGTAGGTAGTGTGTGTTCGTCAGTCCGTCCCTAATCGATATAGATTATAAACCCTTAAAAGTAAACAACACATGCCATGCATTACTTGCATCGCATTGTCTTATTAAAGTGATGGAGTAGGGTCTATTTATATAACGCCTAAAATGTTTGAGTGAATGCTAAGTTTTTATGCTTTCACATACGTTTACAAAAGAACATAAAAAATATTAAATACATGAACAGTGTTGAACATATTTTAAACTGATCAATGTCAAATGATATTCTGGCATATATTCCAAGGAAAACAAATGGATACATTTTAATAACTGTAGAGTAAAAAACTAAGTAATTAAAATGTTTAATAATTATTCTAGGGGAGGTAATTTAAAAAGATATTCAATTCACGCTAAATATTGCAATTTTAGTAACATTTACTATGATCTTTTCTAAGTTTTTCAAAACATTTCAACCGCATTGATTTTTATGTTGAGGCTCATCTCAAACCTTTAACATCACACAACCTTTTTCCAACTCACAGGCGATGTTGTTACAAACAGCTATAGCATCGGGCTAACGGCATCCCGACGGCATCAGGCAAACGTCAGGACAGCATCAGACAAGCGTCAGGACAGCATCAGGCAAACGTCAGGACAGCATCAGGCAAACGTCAGGACAGCATCAGGCAAACGTCAGGACAGCATCAGGCAAACGTCAGGACAGCATCAGGCAAACGTCAGGACAGCATCAGGCAAACGTCAGGACACTATCAGGCAAACGTCAGGACAGCATCAGGCAAACGTCAGGACAGCATCAGGCGAACGTCAGGACAGCATCAGGCAAACGTCAGGACAGCATCAGGCAAACGTCAGGACAGCATCAGGCGAACGTCAGGACAGCATCAGGCAAACGTCAGGACAGCATCAGGCAAACGTTAGGACAGCATCAGGCAAACGTCAGGACAGCATCCCATCTGTGCTTCTACTTGTTTTATACTGGCCACCAGTTGTTACGTTCCGGTTAGCTTCAACTCAAGAACGACTCGTGTTTACGTTCAATACGTTTATTCGGTCTCACCTTTTCACATTACATAGTAGCCCTCGACCTAACCGCTACCAACTATCCCGCTGCTGACCCCCACAATCGTTCACTCCCCCTTTTATACCCGCATTCGACCTTGGGATTACAATACATAAACACACCGGGGTTACTACACAGTAGGGTGAACTCAACTCACACACGCACTCTCCCCTAAGTTCGAGAATATTCTATCCTATTCTAACCTGACCTCAAATGACCCGTAACAAGTGTGTCTGAAAAGGTTGAACAACATTGGTGCATTAGAACTGAGTTAAAATAGAGCGAAAAGATTTAAATCTTTTCGCTCTATTGTAACTAACCCTAACCCTAACCCTAACCCTAACCCTTACCCTTACCCTAACCCTAACCCTAACCCTAACACTAACCCTAACCCTAACCCTAACCCTAACCCTAACCCTAACAATAACCATAACCGTAACCGTAACCATAACCATAACCATAACCATAACCATAACCATAACCATAACCATAACCATAACCATAACCATAACCATAACCATTAACCATAACCATAACCATAACCATAACCATAACCATAACCATAACCATAACCATAACCATAACCATAACCATAACCATAACCATAACCATAACCATAACCATAACCATAACCATAACCATAACCATAACCATAACCATAACCATAACCATAACCATAACCATAACCATAACCATAACCATAACCATAACCATAACCATAACCATAACCATAACCATAACCATAACCATAACCATAACCATAACCATTAACCATAACCATAACCATAACCATAACCATAACCATAACCATAACCATAACCATAACCATAACCATAACCATAACCATAACCATAACCATAACCATAACCATAACCATAACCATAACCATAACCATAACCATAACCATAACCATAACCATAACCATAACCATAACCATAACCATAACCATAACCATAACCATAACCATAACCATAACCATAACCATAACCATAACCATAACCATAACCATAACCATAACCATAACCATAACCATAACCATAACCATAACCATAACCATAACCATAACCATAACCATAACCATAACCATAACCATAACCATAACCATAACCATAACCATAACCATAACCATAACCATAACCATAACCATAACCATAACCATAACCATAACCATAACCATAACCATAACCATAACCATAACCATAACCATAACCATAACCATAACCATAACCATAACCATAACCATAACCATAACCATAACCATAACCATAACCATAACCATAGCCATAGCCATAGCCATAACCATAACCATAACCATAACCATAACCATAACCATAACCATAACCATAACCATAGCCATAACCATAACCATAACCATAACCATAACCATAACCATAACCATAACCATAACCATAACCATAACCATAACCATAACCATAACCATCACCATCACCATCACCATCACCATCACCATCACCATCACCATACCCAGGACCATGACCATAACCATAACCATAACCATAACCATAACCATAACCATAACCATAACCATAACCATAACCATAACCATAACCATAACCATAACCATAACCATAACCATAACCATAAACCATAACCATAACCATAACCATAACCATAACCATAACCATAACCATAACCATAACCATCATAACCATAACCATAACCATAACCATAACCATAACCATAACCATAACCATAACCATAACCATAACCATAACCATAACCATAACCATAACCATAACCATAACCATAACCATAACCATAACCATAACCATAACCATAACCATAACCATAACCATAACCATAACCATAACCATAACCATAACCATAACCATAACCATAACCATAACCATAACCATAACCATAACCATAACCATAACCATAACCATAACCATAACCATAACCATAACCATAACCATAACCATAACCATAACCATAACCATAACCATAACCATAACCATAACCATAACCATAACCATAACCATAACCATAACCATAACCATAACCATAACCATAACCATAACCATAACCATAACCATAACCATAACCATAACCATAACCATAACCATAACCATAACCATAACCATAACCATAACCATAACCATAACCATAACCATAACCATAACCATAACCATAACCATAACCATAACCATAACCATAACCATAACCATAACCATAACCATAACCATAACCATAACCATAACCATAACCATAACCATAACCATAACCATAACCATAACCATAACCATAACCATAACCATAACCATAACCATAACCATAACCATAACCATAACCATAACCATAACCCTATCCCTATCCCTAATCCTAAACCTAACCCTGACCCTGTGTATTATAGTGGTTTCATAAAAAAAAAATTGAAATAGTGCATCATCAGTATATTGAAGGAGTTACATCATCTGTAAAGTGAAGCTCTTGGATAGTTTCTATATTGATGTATTTGCATCATCTGCATATGAAGTTCAGTGGCTTAGCTATGATTTTCGGGCACCTATGCAAAAATTATAATTCGGCCCCTACGTCATTCTGTAAATTGTGTATTTTATACATCACAATAATGCAAGCGATCACTCTACTATAAGCGATGAAAAACGTGGGGCGCCGAAGTAAAAGTTATATTTCTATTGATTAGATAATACTATTGACTTTTATTAGGGAGCTTGTAGAGAGTCAACAGTATTAGAAACTGTAAGAAAATCACGGCGCCCCACGTTTTTGATCGCTTATAGTAGAGTGATCGCTTGCATTATTGTGATGTATAGCATTTATTTTCTACTTTTTAGTTCAATCAGAAAACGTGGGTTTTTAAAAACTTTTTTAATGATTATTATTTTCTACTTTTTAGTCTTTGTCTGTTTGTTTGCATTAAAATCTTGCTATCGATTTTATCTTTTCACTTTTTTTTGGGTAAACGAAGACAACTCGTAAAAAGAAAACTCGTAAAAAGACAACTCGTAAAAAACACGTTGTGTGAATACGTTACTGACTAGAACACATAGATTTGAACCCGTGTCGAGTGGGATAGCAATCGTGTGCCCAACGACTCGACCATATCGTCTCCCCCATACTGGCCACCAGTTGTTACGGTTGTTTGTACACAAATTACAGTTACTGGGTTATGTCCTTTTTTCCCCACGTTTTTACTACAACGAGCCGACCCGCGGCGTATCATACGCCGCTATTTAGTTGATTTATTTTCTACTTTTCAGTAATTAATAATTTGTGAATTCGACAGTACCAATGCTGCCAGTGAAAATATTTGCTTTAAAACACTAACCCCCCTCCTTTCCCCTAACCCCGACCCTACACCCCCCCCCCCCGTGAAAGCAGCCTCCTCTTAGTTACCTCCTGTAAGTTTAAAGTCGGTTCAAACTAAATTATCTGCCCATAATAGCCGTCACTAAACCTGGCTGTACGGTTTGTAAACATTAACGTGACCACAGCTCAGCAGACCATGTGGGGGTGGGGTAGGGTGGTAGTGATAGTGATAGAGAGAAAGAGAGGGGACTGTAAGGAGGCGCTTGCAGCTTGTTTTCTAATGGCTCGCAGAGGAGAATTATATATATAGATTATATAGCGGTCTAAAATGCTCAATAAAATGTTTCCATGGATCAATTTAGTAATAATAACAATTGAATATTCTAATGTCATCCAAAACAAAGCTTCCCTGAAAATTTCAGCGCGCTAGCTAACTGGGAAGTGCCAGAAATTTCGATCGCAAGATTTGATTGGAAAGACAAACAGAGACGAAAGCAAGGACGTGGGAAAAATGGCTCAATTGTAATCATGGATGGAGGCAGAGTTTCTTCCAGGCGTCAGGGGGGGGGGGGGGCTGAGCCCCCCCTCCAACGAGATGGAATTTTTATAGAAAACATACACTTTTACCAGTGTCCGCCCCCCCCCCCCCCCCGAAAATACCAAGTGCACCCCCGGACACAAAGAGGGAAAGAAACACTGGATGGATGGAATTTCGGTGAGGACAGAGAGTTGAGAGGGGGTGTGTGCAGGTTTGTGGCAGTGGGGTAGAGAGTTGATAGGGGGGGGGGGTGCAGGTTTGTGGCGATGGTTAAATCGTCTGTATATTGAAGAGATTGCGGATCTTATCCAGATAGGCCCCGACAGAAAGTTAACCTCCCGCCATGAAAAAAGATTTTTAAAAAATTATATGAAAATTATACTTTTAGAGTTGAGAGGGGAGGGGGGTGTGCAGGTTTGTGGCGGTGGGGTACAGAGTTTTTAGCGATGCCTAAACATTTGTGGGTGCCGTATGCCAATCTCACAAAAAAGTCGATGTTCAAGTTTATTAATAGGCTCTCAACGGCTTGCCCGACGATGCAACAATGCCTATAGTGCAGGGGTCGGAAACCTGCGGCTCAGAAGCCGCATGCAGCTCTTTTGATGTCAATTTGCGGCTCTCCTTATTTTAATTTTCAAAACTAAAAAAAATATTATACTGTAAAAACAAAAACAAGTTTTAACAAAGTAAAAAACAATAAAAATATATAGAGTAGTGTAGAGCGTATATGGACAGCTGAAAGTAGCTGGGCATTAGGTTCAGGCCACTGTTCCTTCTAGACTTTTTTCTGAAGACTTGATTTTCTTCGGGGGGGGGGGGGGGGCGCCACTGGTAAAAGTATTTTTTCTATATAAATTCCATTTCATTAGGGGGGGGGGGGCGGTAGATTTTTCTTCAGGGGGGGGGGGGAATCTTTGGCCCAGCCCCACAACTATGTTGTGGCCAGCCCCGTGGCAATGGTTCCATGCTTTCCACATCTGCAGTGTACATACAAATGTTAGTGGCTCTTTAAAAAGTGGGTTATTTTGTAGATTGTCACTTTTAGCTATTTCGTCTCGAATTGTTGAAGTTCCTCGACTATAGTGTTATTAAGACATGTGGGCCATGTACAACCCCTCCCTAGTAAGAAAAGTCCAGGGGCCTTTTTTAAAATAAAACTTTTGATTACTTCTACAGTAGAAAAGAAACTGTATTTCCGTTTTCTTTTTAAAATTATTTTTATAATACAAATATTAAAATTCCAATGTAAAAATTTTATAAAATTTCAAGAGGGAAAAGGGCCCCTATTTGCCTTGAGCCCCTATGCCTTGCTTACGCTAGCTTTACAGTAGCTACGCCACTGATGAAGTTGTTGCATTGTCTGTTTATTGAAGTAGTTGCATCGTGTGTATATTGAAGTACTTGCATATTTTGTATACTGCTGTTTCGCGTTTAAAATTTTGTATTTATTGCATTTAAAATTGATCACTATACTAAAAGTTGACTGTACTCAGTAATAAAGAAACCGCTGTCTTAGGAAACAAACATTTTTATTTTGAAGGTAGAGGGGGTAGGCTGAGGTGTGACATTATGTAATAGGGGGTGTGTTTTTTCATGTTGGGAGCTGTCAGGTAAGATAAGGTTTAAAAGTCAGGACAACTCTTACATATATCTCAATTAATATTTAGACACATGTTAGACAAACATGTACAAACAGCATAAAAAAGAGTGCGATAGCATTTTTTACAGGAACTTATATTTAATAGAACAAATTTTCTGACAAGCTCATGGTAAAATTTACAAAATTATTCATACTAGACATATCACCTTGTCTAGAAGTAGGCATTCCAGTTATACCTGAACTCTCTCTCAGATATGGATCCGTTACCTGAAAAAAAATAATCGGACCTTATTCTTCTTGGAAGTGTTACCATTTAAACCAGTTTAACATTGTAACATTATTGTAAAACTATACCAGTTTATCAAATTTTTTGAGTACTATTCTAGCCAATAAAACGCTTTAGCTACAGAAACTACAAAAACAGTCATAAAAATGTGCTGTACAAAGTTGAGTTAAGTTGATGTTAAATAAGCGACAAGATAATCCCTTACCGTCCTCATCAAACAGACGGAAAATGTGAGGGAAGTCTTGGGCGTTGAGAACCTCGTCGGCAACTCTGTCCAGTCTTTCAAAGAAAAGAGGGGCGTTTTCTGGATTTGGGAAACCTTCTTGCCTCCAGCCTTGGTCGAATTCCCGTTTGCTTACGTCACCATCACCTGAAAGATAAAAACGTTTAGTTCAATGCTTCTCATATCGATAATGCTCAAATGCTAAAAATTATTTGCTTTCAGTTTGTGATCATGCTGGAAACGAATATAGTATTTTCATGCTTAATAAAGTGCAATGGGCCTCATCGTTAAACAAGTCAGGTGTACTAATTTAAGTAATTTCAGTACAAAGCCGTGGAGCCTCACCATTGTCGTCAAAGTGAAGCCAAAACCTGCTGAACTCGGCTTGAGAGAACTGGTTGTCGCTTCCAGCGTATCTGTTGAAGATCTGGTCGAAGTTGGCGCCACCTCCCCCTTGTGACATCACGCTAGAAGTAAAAGTATATCAGTTATTTTTAGGTTTGGAATGTAAAGTCATTTACATTCAAAGCTGTATTGTAAAATTCATTTAATTATTTCACGGTTGGATTGTAAAAGAATTTTTTTTCAAGATTGGAATATATAAGTAATCTTTTTTACGAGATTGAAATGTAAAAGTGATCTTATTTTAAGTTTGGGATGTTTAAATCCACAACGGAATGTAACATTATTTAAATAATTGAAGGATTGAATTTGAAGACACGTGTTTACCAAGTTATTCGACGCTAAAATGTTGGCAACAATCACTCATCAATTTATATCTAACTACTTTAGGAATACATAATCACATTACTTGATTAGTATCGAAGCATAAGCCATAGAGTTATACTTATTAAAACGAAATGAAAGCCACTTTGATAATATTTAATTCCAAATCAATGGAAGACAAGGAAAAAAAAAGTTTTTTTTACCATCCAAAGAGTGCAACAGCGATGATTGCGAATGATCTCATGGTAAAGTTTTGGTTGACACTTGAGCGATACATGGCATCGACTTATATAGAAACTTTGTCGCCTTCCCTCGTGACGGTAAATCACAGGTGATGCATAAATTCAGGTGAGCTATTTCTCACACATTTTTTTCTACCTGGAAAAGTTGAAAATCGTGTTTAGACTGGGCCAACGATGGTTCTAAAATAAAATTACATGTATCGAACAGTTACATGCTCATTTTAAATTGACAATGCAAGTAATTTAGTGAATTTAAAAACGTTATTTAAAAACAGGCTCTTTAGAGAGAAAGAAAGAAAAAGAGGGAAAGAGAGAGAGAGAGAGAGAGAGAGAGAGAGAGAGAGAGAGAGCAGTTTCTTTTAAGCTACCTACAAAAGCGGGGGGTGCAATGCCTACCCTTCACCCGGATCACACCCACCTCTCACTTTCAGGATGAAATAGAAAAATATATAATTTATATAGAAAATATATACTTTGACCAGTGTCCACCACACACCCTGGAAATTTTAAGAGCCATCCTTCCACCGGAGAAAACGTCCGAAAGTACCCTTGAGAGAGAGACGAGATAAATTAAAAACAGAATGAGAAATACATTTCTACAACTAAACTACACAAGGCAAACAATAATAATGATAATTTTATTCGTAAGCTACACAAAAAATTAAAGCAAGCTATTACTGTCTTGGGTTTTCATATCCAATTCCGAAATGTTTAATGACGGTAGTTTAGTGCAAGTGGTTCGTATCTGTTATAGACTAGCTTCGTCTGTCAAAATTAAAAACTATTAGTTTTGGTGATTGATTCAATTATTATTTCAATTACTAGATCTAGAGGTCGGCGTGGTCTAGTCGGTAAAAGTATATTTGCTATGATGTGTGTCGTTTCAAGAAATAACAACCTGGAAAGAAAACTTTACGTATTACTTTGTTTTAAACTTAGGTATAAAATTATTCTTTACGCTATCTAAATACTAAAAGAAAACAAGCTTGAAAATCACTGAAAATAACAAGCTTTTGAATGCAAAAAATAAGAAGATATCTTTTCTTAAATAAAATAATCTAAGTATTGGTCGCTTAAATGTGTTAATAATATGTTATTAACAAGAAATGTTTTATTTTCTATACTTAGTCCATTTAACATTTTCTTATTAGAATCTTTATCTAGTAAATATTAAAGAACTATATGAAAGCATAAAACATTTCATGACAGTTCGAGTTAAAAATCACTTGGCTGTTCCAGTAGCGTTCGTATCAACTAAATAAGCAACTGCTTATTATCTAAACAAATTTTAAGTTTAACCCCAACTGTTGTTGTTAGCCTGTGTAAGTTTCGAGAGTAAACAAGGATAGTTTCAGGAATAGTTAGGTTTTGAACAATACAGCATTTAACGATTCAACAGTGCATTATTCAACCCAGTGCATCCTTGCATCCATTTAGTGGGCCATATTATCCCCGCCAAAAACAAACTTGCAGTTGAAACTCCAAATAGAATAGAAGATAACCAACACACATATCATTAGCTTGATGCCCGTTATCGAAACATTTTGCTGGGGCGGTGCTCACCAAACAATCCACACTGTAAAGCTCAGGGTTTCTTTCAGGCAGGTTTTCTATGGGAAGGGAGGGGGTGCGCCCTCCAAGGCAGGCCTGTCACGCTTCCTCAAAAACACAATAAAAAAAAATTATTCAGAAAATGTTCACTTTAATCGTGTCCCCCTCGAAAAAATTTAAGCCCCCCCCCCCCCCCGAAATTTTCAAGTGCGTCCCTAAACGAAACACCGGTAAAGTTATCTGTAAACTCAAGCTAGGGGTAAGCTCACTGAAGATTCTGGTTGACTGGGTATTGGAGATGTAAATTCTTGTCCCTTATAGAAACATACTGCGATCTGAGGTGTCCTCTTAGAAGTCTATTACCTACATCTAACACACCATTCATTGTGCATATTTATTTATGCCATATTGTCTTTACTTCACAAATAAACAACAAATATGACATCAATGTACTTTATGTTAGCCATCTCTTAGTTTGTAATGCTACAGAAAGATTTCAGAAAAACGACTGGAGATAAAAATGGTACATATTAAAAATATTAGCAACAGCTGCTTGCTTATCTAAAGTATTCCGACCTCAAAATTTTTAATTTAGGTCACCTAAATAAAGTACTTGACTCGTGATTTTTATCACATTTCGTGAACAGAATAGTAGAAGAGATAACGTAATTTTACGGTATAAAAGAAAATAGTGGTTTAAAACGGGGTTTAAAATTTAAAAATGTTTAATAGCCGTTTCTTCATAAGGTTTTAAAAATGCAACGATGCAGTGTTCCTTTAAGATTTTTTCTCCTTGTGGGAAGGGGGCGTGAGGACACTGGTAAAAGTATATATTTTCTATTTAAATATTGTTTTGTTGGGAGGGGGGGGGGGCAGACGTTCTTCGGGGAGAGAGTGGGTCTCTGCCCCTCTGCAACGGTTTGACGTCACACTTTCTAACCCCTCCCCTTCAGAGAGAGAAAGAGAGAGAGAGATAGAGAGAGAGAGAGAGAGAGAGAAAGATAGGGTTAAGGTTAAGGGTAAGCATATTATGTTGGTTAGGAAGATAGTTAGAGGCTGTCAGTTGGCTTTTGAGATAGACAGGTAATTGAATTGGTAAAATAGTATTGTGCAATGGGGAATTACGCAGGGTGGTAATTTAGAGGAGTTTATGATCTGTTGCTAACGACAGGGTAAAGCATGTCACATTACGATGGAAACTTAGGTTTGATTTTAGTCTTATTGTTACTAGCGTGGCGGTCCCCGCGTTGTCGCGGTCTCAGAAAAAAAAGTATGAAGAAATAGTTTTGGAGGGTTTCATTATTGCGTTAGCAATCCTATATTCTTAGACATATGGCTTTGTTTTCTAACACTGAGTTTTTCAACAATGTTTGCGCTATATTTCTTGGGTCGTATTTGTCTGGGCACCGGTTTACCTACACTACCGCCTAGCATATGAAAGCTTTGAGTGTACGTTATTCACTTTCTGTAAAAGTGGGGTAGAACACTTCGGCGACTGTCCAGGTGTCATGGACGTAGAGGGGTGCCCTCGGGAGCCCCCGATTACACTATTACAGGGGTTCGACATACGACCCTTGGCTCGGTTTAATAATCGAATATTGTGTGATACCATGTAAATATTGTAGGGTGTTCATTAAAACTGACGTAGGTGCCATAGTGATACTTTGACGCGATATCGCACCCTGCCGGGGTGCCGACCAGAGTTTCTTCCAGGCAACTCTTGGGGGGGGGGGGGGGGCGAAGCCCCCCCGAAATTTTTTTACCGCCACCCCCCCGAACGGAATGACATTTATATAATTTATATAGAAAATATATACTTTTAACAGTGTCCGCCCCCCCCCCCCCGAAGAAAGTCTACCGCCCCCCCCCGAAAATTTCAAGTGCCCCCCCGGAGATAAAGTCTGAAAGAAACACTGGTGCCGACGGATGCGCCTGATTCAATTCATATACCCCAATCTTATAAATACTCTATCGCACTGTTTAAAATGGGATAGCCCGGGGCTATTAATTAAATCCTGCCGGTGTCGAATCGCATCCGACTTTTATTTTGTATATACCGCCCTTCCGAAATAAAAAAAAAAAGACTTTTAGCATAAACATCCTTGAACTCTGGGCGCCAAATTGTGTATTGACGAAAATCGCATCCCCGCGGGCAGCGCCCATATCAAAATTAATTATTTTTTTCACAGAAACCTTCTCGGGAGTATTCTCATCCACTCCTCAAATTTTTTATTGCACTCGAATGAGCGGTGTCGAAACGCATCAGACTTTTTTTTTTATTATCCGAATATAGAGAAAAATAGCACCCTCCCAGGGCGCTGCCCTTGCAAATTAAAAAAGTTTTTTTGCAGAAAAGTCTCCTTTAGTGTTCTAATCAACTCCTCAAAGTTTCATGACGACCGGATGAACGGTATCAAACCGCAATAGATTTTTATTTTTTATATATCGTATATTGAAATGAATCGAATCGCGCCCTGCCGAGGCCCCACCACTGCAAATTGATTTTTTTTCGGCAAATACCTCCACAGGAGTGTCCTAAACAACTTCCCAAAGTTTCACGGCGATGTGATAAAAAGTGTATCCTAGAAGTAAACACACAGTATATCATCGTTATAAAGTGCTCTTATAAAAACAAACGTAATACCCCGCCACATATCGATTCTGATTATAATTTTACAAACTTTATTCGATGATTATATTTCATGTTTTAACTAGAACTGCAATTGCTTGCCTAAATGCTCTTCTGTAACAAATATTTAAGTTTTTATTTTTTTCCCCCAAATCTTTGCTCTAACCTCGAGTTAGTTTAAAGCAGGAAAACATGGCGTCTCACCATCTGCCCATAATCTTATCAGCAGTATAAAATCCCTGACTTTATCTCTCAATTTATTTAGCGTTACAGTTAGCCGCAACAATGAACACAAACAAAAAAAAAACCTTTGAAAATGTTCACTAAAAAGATCTTGAAGCTAGGCAAATAAGGGTTATGACCTACTCTTTCCTTAGCTAAAACTATAAATTGGGTTCGCTCTATCTATAGTCATCATCTGATTCTGAAAATGAAGACAACTGTTCTGTTTTTTTTAGTTGTCGTCCTACGAGGGTAATTAATTAATTAAACTTAAATCTACATTCCGAGATATAATAATGTCCAAAGAGTATTTTATAATCTAAGACTAATTAAGTTAATCATGCACTGTGCAATGTATTTGTGATTTTTTCAATCAGCGCTTTAGGCCAAGGGTCAGCTAACTTAGACCAGATCTTCAACAGATACGCTGGACTTGACAATATTTTACAGCAAATAGAATTTAACAGATTCTGGCTCCACTTTGATGACGATGGTAAGATCGTAAACAGACCAAGACTTTGGTATCCGGTCCATGCTCTTAATTTTTGTATAGTAAATTGATGAAAAATACATGTTTTTTTTTTAAATTTATAGTACATTAACCGAATCATTTATGTCGGATAAATATTTTTTATTGTTTGCAGTACTTTGACCAAAAGATTTGTACTCTTATAATGTTTTTTTTAAATTTTCTTTGAGTGTATAAAGACTAAAGCATTTGTATCCAGTGCATGTTTTAATGTTTATTGACTAAAAAGTTAGACAAACTTTGGCTGTCGAGTTAGTTACAAATAACTGATCGTAATGTTTACAAAACATTGACTGACATGATTCTATCTTGTACACGAATTTAACATTTTTCTACGACAGACGACGGTGAGGTATCTAAGCTGGAATTTGACCAGGGCTGGAGACGGGAGGGGCTCCCCAACCCCCAAAACGCCCCCCTTTTTTTCTTAGAGCTGGACAGAATCCCCGACGAGACTTTGAACAACCTCGACTTCCCCCATATCTTTCATCTCTTTGATGAGGATGGTGAGTACAACATCCCATAATTTTACTTTATTTTCGTTAAAAATGGTACTACACCACATTATTTCAATTTATTCTCGTTTAAAGATGGTATTATATAACTTTTTTCAAATCATCGTCGTTAAAATGTGTAAGTCGTGAAACCATACTTAACGGAATATTACATAATATTCTAGAAATTAAAGTTCAATGTACGATAATACGTGTAACTCCACATGGTTTTGATCAACATTAATTAAACGATGAGTAATTCATTATTTTATTATTTAATTTTCTTAAAAGGCATTTTTCGGTTAACCACACTTTCATAAATAACTACGTTTGTATCATTAATCTAAAACACCGTAAAGTTCCCTTTCAAAATTGACAGTCATGTCATACGGCATTTGAGTTTGTCTGTTCTGTGATCTCGGAAAATAAATAGATGGTGTTGCACTGTATCCAGGCCTCATTACTTTCCCAAACGTGAGTTATGAACACGTTAGAGTATGGTAGACTCAAAGACGTTCCACTGACTAGGCACGGATTCGAACTCAAGATTCCCGAGAAAGCAGCCTGACGCTCAATCGCTAGGTCACGCCGTCCGCAGGAAACATACTATACTGGCCAATACAACCTTTGCATTTTCAAACTTATTTCTTGTTAAACAGCATATAAAATGAATGTAAAATATTTAAGGTACGCAACGCTCCCAGTAGAGTCGTAAGCTGAAAAAAATGTTTATTTTTGCTTTTTATCTAGGCGACGGAGGAATCACAGGGCGTGAGATGAGATTCAACTGGCACGCATATTTTGACGCGTGAAACATGTAGTCACCAAACAGTTTTTAAACATCTTTAATAAGTGTTTTTTCCAACTAAGTAATAACACATTTATAATCGATTTAAGACAAACGAAGTTCAGAAATTCAAAGATATCAAGATAATTATTTTAAAACCTCAATAACAGACTTATTTGCTTTTTTGTTGCACATGTTTTTTCTTAATAAAATTTTGTTTTTTTACAAATAAAGCGATAATATCATGACGATTTTTGTACATTTTATTGTATGTGTGTAATATGTGTAAGGTGGTGTGTATGTGTGATGCTAATAGCGCTTTATCCGCAGCAGATGTGTCTAAAAGCAAATTCAAAGAAAGTGAAAGCTTGTACTGAAGTTACTATTATACTCGTAAAGCGAGGAGCTTCTCTACACTTTCTCATATCTTTTATTTTAAACAGTAAGATTTGGGATAACCCTTCCAGTAAGAAAATTGGGACATAGGAAATTACATTGTTTTAAAACCTTTTTTAAAATATAAAACATAGAGGCGAAGAATTTTTAAAATATACTTAATGCAAATAGGATAAAATAATTATTAAATTCTAAAAAATTTAATCTCTGTCGGTTATTGGAAAAAGCTCAAAAGTTGAAAGAAATAAACGCATGGAGATAATAAGCAAATGTGACATTTTGTCCACATAACTGAGACGGTACTCAAGTGCTATTCTTCTCAAAGAAGTAGAATAAATCACACACAAGTTGAAATAAATTAGCGTATAAGATCTAGTTAGAAAAAAAAATTGTGTCTAACTTAAACGATTCTCCGGTAATACAGGGAAGTACTACTTCCGGTTACCGGATATCCTATAAAGTTTAAAGAGACTTGCGCATACTATATAGTAATTATATGTGAAATTTTGTCAACCTACCTGAAACGGCAATCAAGAAATCGTGTTAAAATAAACACACATACACAGAAAAACACACAGGCAATACTAAAAATTCTAATTCTTTCAGGATGAGGAAGTTGTAAACGTCGAAAATTTTTAAAATCTTGATTCCGAATCTTTGCACGGTTACAGTGCTTCTGAGAAAGTAAAAACAATCTCAATGAACATCGTTTATCAAAAACTGAAACTATATGCGTTCAAGTTGATGGTACATTGAAACCTCAAAATATGGATGCGCTAACATTTTGTTAGAAACGAGCAGTAGAGAGATCGACATTTTTTGGGTTTGCTGTAACAAGCAAAATTTTAGAAACAAAGAACCAGGCTCGCGGGTTTTTACATATCACAACAGAAACAACAATCAGAAAAAGTTGCAACACTGGACTAACTCATTTTCGCAACATGCTGAAAGGGAGGAAGAACCATGTTTGTTTTAAACGGCCTGAACGTAAACCAATTAACAAAGACGTGATATGAGAAAAGCAGTTAAGAAAATTAAGCAAAACTAAAAAAAAACAAGCTTTTATGTAATAATGCATTAAAAAGTAGAAATAAATGATTTTCTTTAAATATACAACAATACACTACTATTTAAATTACTATAAAAAAATGCGCAGGTCACTTTATTATATCTATTGGATAGATTTACTAATAATAAAGAGGAGACCCACGCTTTTCTTTATAGTTATTTAAATGGTAGTGTATTATTAAATATTTAAAGAAAACAATTTATTTTCTACTTTTTAGTGCATTATTACAAAAAAGCTTGTTATTTAAACTTTTTAAATGATTTTTTTCAGTACTTTACATTTTTTATCCTAATATATAAAAGCCCATGTGCGCACTTCTCTCTATCTCTCTCTCTCTGTCTGCAACATTTTTGAGGCTATGTAATCAGTATGTTCAGCGATAAATAGAGAACTTAAAGATACGGACTTTCGTTAACGGAATCATTTAAGTCTCTTAATTAGTGTGTGCATTTTATATGGTGTTGTGTTGTGTCTACAAATTAGGTTTTCTAATACGTATTGGTAGCCTTTGTTATTTTACATGCTTCAGACTTTTAGTAATTTATTTATTTCTTTGCTTTGTCACTAATATCATTCAACGTGTTGGTTGATAAATTCGAACAAGGTCTCGAGTTCAAACCCACTGGCAGATAAATCTCGATCCCCTTCAACACTAATAATTAAGAACGAAGAAGAAGAAAAGAAAGAAGATTCAACGTGTAGTAAAGCACATTGTACTTTGACCAATAACTATTTTATAAAATATTTTTCTTAAACAAGTATAACATTAAAATATATAGGTCTATAATTCACGTGTAATGGGTATCGACGGCTAGTTTAAATAGAGTTACATGACTAAAAACCATTGCACACCTAATGAGCATGATAACGCTCGTATAATAGTGGAATATTTGGATAAGACAGCCTAAATATTTAGACGTTTTAATTAATTCATTAAAAAATTAAGCATCCAATTAAGTCAAATTTAATGTCAGATTGCATTGTCTTTATGTCTTGACCCACGTGCCAATTTTAAACCAAATTTGTCAGTTAGTAGTGCCCGAAAGTTTGCTCGGGCGTTTCGATCTAGACAGTCAGACTGACGGCAGACAGACAGAGGAAGTAAGTTAAATAAAACCTTATAAAAATAATGATATTTTCCTATAAAAAAGTACTAATTTTGCCGCGCCATTATTCGCATAATTTATGTGTTTAGTTGATGCATAATTCGTTTTATTTAGTTATGCAATTCTATTGTATTTAAAAATCAAATGTTTTGAAATTTAAAAAAAAGCGGGAATGTTCCCCCCTAATCTATTTCGAATATGCTTATTTAACACTACGGGGGATGGCAACTCGGGATATAAACATGATTTTTAACCAATTCTTAAATAATTAAACTTTTAAAAATAGAATAGAATCTCGTAGAAAAAAGAATTGCGCACCACAGCATAACACGTGTGTATAATAGTGTGAAATATTAGTAGTTTTTAAATACATATGATTATGCTTTTTTTGAGAAATAGGAAATCGCATAAAGGACTAGTTCCGGTTAACGGAAATTTACTCAAAATTTGACAAAAGACTGTTTATTAGATCTTTTACTTATTTATGAAATATTGTCTATCTGAAACAGTACTCAAGTTATAGGTTTTTTTGTACAAAAAGTAGAATAAGTTCCAACTCTGGTTACCGGAAATCAATGAAATGTTGGTACATAACAATACATTTGATATAATACTTATATATGAAATTTCATAAACCTAGCTGTAACGGTAATCAAGCTATCGTGTTTACAGACATACACACATACCTACGAACAAAATTGCAAAGCCCAGTTTTTCCGACTCGATTACGCAAAGGGCGCCGAAATTTTGATAAATCTTTATTTTTAATTTTTGCCCGATTAAAATAAGTTTCCTATACTCCGTATGTGATGAAGTACTGAGGTGTAAAACTATGGAAACTGTCAAAATTTCATGTAATTTTTGTGCACGATTACAATACTTCCTTTATACTCTGTGTATGATAAAGTTAAAAAAACCACTTTTTATTACTAGCTTTTATATATAAGTATGAATTAAAAAGCAAAAAATAATTTTGTTCTTTAAAAAAATAATAATAAACCACTATTTAAATAACTAAAAGGAAAAGCTTTGGTTGCTCATTACATTTTAAAGTAAAAAATAATTTTGTCCTTTAAATAAATAATAATAAACCACTATTTAAATAACTAAAAGGAAAAGCGTGGGTTGCTTATTACATTTTAAAGTAAAAAATAATTTTGTTCTTTAAATAAATAATAATAAACCACTATTTAAATAACTAAAAGGAAAAACGTGGATTGCTTATTACATTTTAAAGTAAAAAATAATTTTGTTCTTTAAAAAAATAATAATAAACCACTATTTAAATAACTAAAAGGAAAAGCGTGCGTTGCTTATTACATTTTAAAGTAAAAAATAATTTTGTTCTTTAAATAAATAATAATAAATCACAGTGGCGTAGCCAGGATCGTCTCAAGGGGGGGGGGGGGTTCCAATTTTTACCCGGGGACAAACTTTCGATTTGCACCCCCCTCAAACTTTCGATTTGCACCCCCCCCCCCCTCAAACTTTCGATTTGCACCCCCCCCCGCCTCAAACTTTCGATTTGCACCCCCCCTCATACTTTTTATATATACCGAGGGGTCTATGGGGGGGGGGGGGGGGGGGTTATGACCCCCCCCTAACCCCCCCCCCCCCCCTGCCTACGCCACTGATAAATCACTATTTAAATAACTAAAAGGAAAAGCGTGGGTTGCTTATTACATTTTAAAGTAAGAAATAATTTTGTTCTTTAAATAAATAATAATAAACCACTTTTTAAATAACTAAAAGGAAAAGCGTGCGTTGCTTATTACATTTTAAAGTAAAAAATAATTTTGTCCTTTAAATAAATAATAATAAACCACTATTTAAATAACTAAAAGGAAAAGCGTGGGTTGCTTATTACATTTTAAAGTAAAAAATAATTTTGTTCTTTAAATAAATAATAATAAACCACTATTTAAATAACTAAAAGGAAAAACGTGGATTGCTTATTACATTTTAAAGTAAAAAAAAAATTTTTTCTTTAAATAAATAATAATAAACCACTATTTAAATAACTAAAAGGAAAAGCGTGCGTTGATTATTACATTTTAAAGTAAAAAATAATTTTGTTCTTTAAATAAATAATAATAAACCACTATTTAAATAACTAAAAGGAAAATCGTGCGTTGCTTATTACATTTTAAAGTAAAAAATAATTTTGTTCTTTAAATAAATAATACTAAACCACTATTTAAATAACTAAAAGGAAAAACGTCGGTTGCTTATTACATTTTAAAGTAAAAAATAATTTTGTTCTTTAAATAAATAATAATAAACCACTATTTAAATAACTAAAAGGAAAAGCGTGGGTTGCTTATTACATTTTAATAAAAGTATTCAAATTAAATAAATGGTGAGATCTTTTGGAAGTCAAAAACTAATTTTAAGAGTCGGGAGCTACAGGCTGCTCAGTTGTTGGAAATCTCAACAAACAATTTTTAATAAGTCAGGAGTCACACAATGTTTGGTATAAATTTCAACAAACTAATTCTATGAGTCAGGAATCATATGTTGTCACAGTGTTTGACATGCGAGCTCCCAACTTTCTAAACACGAAAAATTCTATCCCGTTGGCATTGTAACAAATTAAACCGCCATTTAATTATGTAAATAGAACATTAATAACTGTACACTTTTAGTGTAGAGCAAAATAAAAGTTCCAATTTCAAGGCAAATCACGTCCCATTATGATGCCTGCTAGGACGCAAGCACGCAGCAAATATACACACTCTCAGCCTTGTCAGCTATGTTGAGACCAAATTAGCAGCTGTACTTTAATCAGCATTCAACATGTGGAGACTTGCGGTTGTTGTTGTGTCTGTGTTTATCCAGTGGTAAGTTCTGACCTTTAATTTTAATAATCACGTAAAATAGTTTTTACACTATTAATAATAAGTAGACTCTATTTCTAGTCTAATTAGCATGTATTGACAAAGTGCAATGTGGTTAGCAAAAGCATGTATTTTAAATACTCCCTTTTATTATCAAGTCTGTGTTATACAACATCTGTGAAAATTACCATCAGTATTATAGTATACATTTATATTACATCATTCAAAGCTACCTATACATTTTTTTTTCAAATAAAACTATATGCTAGTAAAACTCCACTTAAGTCAACTATATTTACATAATAAAACTCTAGGATAAGATAGCACACTGTGTTTTGTGTTAACGTAGATTGTGCTTGTTACCATTAGATAAAAAAACAAATGGTAGCTGCAGTGAGGTTAATGTAATTAGTAATAAAACAGATAGTATTAGTTACCTCACAAGTTAAAGACAGTTACAAGTACTATGGACGTTTCGACCCAAGGTCTTCGTCAGCACACAACAGTGTGATTACAGATTAGACAAATAAAGACAAACAGTAACACATTTTTTGACTTAGCTCGACAGTGAAAACACGTCTTGTCTGCTAGCCACGATATCCAAAAGAAAAGACGCGTGAGAAGGACGCTTGGACACCGTATAGGGGTGGGGTTGGGGGCGTGGTGTATGCGGGAGGGGGGGGGGGTTGGTTAGGTGAAAGATATCTGTTCATTCAAGCCATCGGGTGCCCGTGTACCAAATTTAAGTATTAGTCGCGTTTCAGTGCTAAGGCGATTTTTAAAATTGTGGCGAAACCGAACGGCGGTTACACAAAAGTCCTTTTTTAAGTCATGCCCAATCTTGTTGAAGTGTTTGGCAATGAAGACAGTCTTCCTGTGGCCACAGGAAGACTGTCTTCATTGCCAAACACTTCAACAAGATTGGGCATGACTTAAAAAAGGACTTTTGTGTAACCGCCGTTCGGTTTCGCCACAATTTTAAAAATCGCCTTAGCACTGAAACGCGACTAATACTTAAATTTGGTACACGGGCACCCGATGGCTTGAATGAACAGGTATCTTTCACCTAACAACCCCCCCCCCCTCCCGCATACACCACGCCCCCAACCCCACCCCTATACGGTGTCCAAGCGTCCTTCTCACGCGTCTTTTCTTTTGGATATCGTGGCTAGCAGACAAGACGTGTTTTCACTGTCGAGCTAAGTCAAAAAATGTGTTACTGTTTGTCTTTATTTGTCTAATCTGTAATCACACTGTTGTGTGCTGACGAAGACCTTGGGTCGAAACGTCCATAGTACTTGTAACTGTCTTTAACTTGTTACCATTAAAAAATCACAAATCTGTAACGTGCGCCATGTTTGTCTACATCACCAGAGGCGTAGCGAGGGGGGGGGGGGCGGGGGGGGAGCATATGTCCCCGGGCGCCGATCTTAGGGGGAGCGCCAAATTGAAAGTTTGAGGGGGGAGGGTGCAAATGAAAAGTTCGAGGGAATGCAAATCGAAGGGTCGCTACACTTCTGCACAGCACCCAGTTGATTTAGATTCTTTTGTTTCTTAACTATACAACACTGAAATAAAATGTGTACTTTTCGCGTTAAATTTAAAACATTTAATGATAAGTTTTAAATATTAGTCATTTTACATTTAAAAAAATGATGTTACCGTTGTCGTTGACAGGAGAATTTAAAACTATATTTTAAAGTCAAGAGGAACTGTAGTCGTAAATACTTCAACACCTGCAATAAACATACATTTAATCTAAGTTTTACAACAAAAAAACCTAACGAGTAAAAATGTTAAATATAAATATTCCGCAGTAACTAAATTGTTTCTGTCATTGGCTGTCATGTCAATGTAAATAAAAAGCTGGTCAAATTTGTTTCTACAGTACACTAGCCCAGGATGTGGACTCGTTATTTTTACAATATGCTGGTGACGATAACTTAATTCAGAGGGACGAGTTTGATCGGTTTTGGCTGCACTTTGATCAGAATTGTGAGTACATTATTCATATTGACAGTATTAGACTTGTTCAGTAATACCGATATATACAAAAGAAACTGTACACTCTCTTTGAGCTGTGTTTCTTTCAACGACTCTTTTTTCGAGGACGGGGAGGGGGGAGGGCAAGGGAGACTTTTAGGAGGAGTGGACTAAATTTACCGGGCGGGGGCGGACACTATTTCTTTCCTGTGTGTGGGGGGGGGGGGGAATAGACGTGGTTTGGTACCCCCCTTCCCCCATAAGAGATGCCTGAAATAAACACTGTCTTCAATAATTATTTATTTTGTAACTCTGCTCCCCCAACCACCCCGAAGAAAAATTAATTTGAAAGAAACACAATCAGCATGATTGAGGTTTAGAGGCAAAAAGTAGGTGGGTCTAGTTATAGAAGTAGGGTCTACCTTTAGTCTGTATGATCTACAAAGGCGACCAGTGTTTATTTTAGAGCCGCCCAAAAAGATTGACGTCGTTGATTCTAGAGTAAATAAATCTGATTCCACAAAAATAATTACATCATCTTCTCTCTCTTTCTTTCTCTCTCTCTCTCTCTCACACACACACACGCATGTACACACACACACACAGCCACACCACACACAGCAACAAACACACACAAATATATATATACATCGCCTATACATTTTTTCTCTGGAGGGTGGGGCGACACCATGAGGTGCCGCATCGGTTGACACTCGAGCTAGCTACGCCACTGCATAAGGTACTTTCTACATAGATGTGATGTGAAGAATGTCAAACCTAATAAATATCTCCATATTTGGTGTATGAAGAATGTGAAACCGAAAAGTTTTCTCCACATTTGTATAAAACGTTTTCTCCATAATTATAGGTCATACATGCGTGAGTAATAAATTTATCTCTCTATTTTCAGCTGATGGAAGTGTCACCAAGAACGAGTTCGACATGGGCTGGAGACTAGAAGGATTCCCCAAGCCACAAAACGCCCCTTTCTTTTTCCTCGAGCTGGACAGAGTAGCCGATGAAATCCTAAATTTTTTGGATTTCCCTCACATCTTCCGTCTGTTTGACGAGGATGGTAAAAAATGTCCTTCTCAATAAACGCCCAATACGAATATATGATAATAGGATGGGGGGGGGGGGGGAAGTAAGGCACGCTCGTATTTTCTGAGGTTGGGGGGGGGGACACTAAAAAAGAATATCTTTTCTATGTACATTTTATTTCGTTCGGGGGAGGAGGAGGGAGACAAGATGCCCGAAAAAACCCGAGTATAAAAGAGCGGAAAATTAGTATTTTGTCATGGAAATATTGTTTATCTTGTTTGAGAAATCAGAAATCGTAAAAGAATACTTCTGCTTATTGAAAAAAAAGTAAAACGTCAAAATCGGTCAAAATCACGAATTAGATTTTATTGTCAATACAATACATTCTTTATATTCAGGTATACAAGAAAATATGAATGTGCAGAAAACTTAATTTTGGAGACCAAAACCTACAGGGCGAATTTTAACGCAAAACAGTTTTAGTCGCCATGTATATAGTATAAATTAATGATTAACAATTGGAAACAAATGCTTTCATAACAGTTTGTAGGAAAAAAACTATTAATATATCATAATTCACAAAAAAAAAGAAATCACAGATAAAATAATATAGTAAAATGTAAAAAAATATATTGTTTGATGCCAGCTTATTAAGCTAAATGCTGGTATAACTTAAAAAAATAGTCTGAGTGCTCACTTATGGAAAATACATTCCATTTAATAGAGAGTTCATTCATAGGTTTACTTTTTATAATTTAATATGTTCAGTTTGCATCATTGAGCCCACATTAAGTTATTTTTAGTCATACCAGAAAATAGCTTTATTAAGTTTACACCAAACGAAATTTATTTTTACTTTGTGTGCTTTTTTCTTTTCAATGTGAGAATTATTATATTTTAAGTGTAATTCTTAAAAAATGTTGATTTAAATCTGGTTTCAGGTAACGGCGAAATCAATGACAGAGAGATGATCTACAATTGGCGAGCCTATTTTATTTAGACGAATTTTTTTGTAAAAAAAACCAGGATAATGGTTCTCAATTAAAATATATTGTTTTACTACTGTTTTTATTACACATCAATGTATTAATGTATAAACTGTAACATATTTTTGTTGCTGTGTAAAGACTGCTGCTGGAATGTTATGTCAACGTACCCCTCCCAACCATCATCTAGCTGAGAAGCAGCAACGAAACTTAAAATCCTTGACATAAACAACATTGGCATAAATAAAGATAGCTCTATGACCTATGCCCAAACGAATAACATTTTCAAGTCCAACATTTTGAAACGAATTCATCTATTGTGAGCTAAGCATTCTTTTGGTCGATAACAAATAAAACAAAAATCCATAATTCACATTAGTTAATAAAGAAACTTTTAAAAATAATTTTCTGATTTATTCTGAATAAAAAAAAAAATTCGATAAATTGTGCGTTCAAATGTAATAAGTATTTAAACAAACTCGATACTTTTAAATTTGTTAAATATGCAACTATTTTTGGTTGTGCAGTTTCTACCGATACTTAATCTTTATGGTAGGCCTATTTGTTTTATGCAATCTCACATCATGCATTAATAAAGTTGTTTTTTTCTTCTAAGTATCAACTAATTTATTTAACCACTAATCCGGAGGAAATCCATATGATTTTACCTCGGCAAAAAGCACCCCCCCCCTCAATATTGGAAAAAGATGGTGGGCTATTTATCGATCACTAATTCTTTAATTCTTTACCGTTACACAATCAAGATAGAAAACAGTAAAATCAGTGTGCTAAAGCTTGTAACGCTATATTTTCAAAACTTTAATGACTTATTTATCAATACTGCAGTTTGAAATTAGCTTTTTAATTATATTTCTTCTCATGCAGTCACCTCCCCCCTCCCCCATTGCCTAGTCTGGGAAAAGTCATTAAAGCCGAAGTTTTGATTTTGCAACTGGGTATCATCTAGATGCGCTCAAATATGTAAAAAGATCATTTGAAATATGTGTAATATCTGATTTTACTATACAAAATCATGAGACAAAATATTTAGATTTAATTCGAGTGTTTTATTTTAGTTCGCCAAGGGTAGACAAAGGTACAGAATATAGTCAAAGTAGAGACAGAAAAGCTTAAACCCAACGGGATTCGAACCTATTAATTCACGCGGCACCAAATCGCCTTGCCCTTCATGTATCATGACAGACGTGCAAACACTTCTGCCTATCAGCTCTACAAAAATAGAGCTCTCATGGCAGACCATTATCACACCTTGTACACGGAGGACGCGGGCTCGCTTGAACTCTAACTCCGAAGGGTCTGACCGCTCGCCTTATAAACACAACAAGGACCATTATTCGACCAGACAAGCAGGGGTCGGCGTGGTCGAGTCGGTAAAGCTCATGGTTGCTAAACCGAAAAGTCTCTGGTAGATGAGGCTTGTTAGCTAGGGATAGTTACTCTTCTAGGAGAGACAACTCCAAAATCAAACAACTGCTGCCTTGTAGCTTGTTCTTGGTTGGACAAAGGCTATGGAAGCAAATCCAAAAAGAAAAGCAGGCTGAAATCGGAGTCAATGGCCTCAATGGCGCATAACCAGTTGACACGTATCCTTAATTGTGTTGGAGGCGTGGTCGAGTCGGCAAAAAGCTCATGGTTGACAAATTCGAAAAAGTCTCGAGTTCAAACCCACTGGCAGATAAATCTCGATCTTTTCCAACACTAAAAATTAAGAACGAAGAAGAAAATGACAAGACAAGCGACGCACAAATTCACGCACAATGATACAAACAAATAGTAGCTTCCTTAAATGGGTATATCACTTTCTGTTTACATTGCTATTTTAGTAACAACTGCTTCCATACCCTCTACACGTTGTATGCCAAAGCTCATTGAAACACGTTAACTCTACTTTATCTGCAGCATGTGTTTTGGGCACGAACTGAAAAATGTGACGTTGACTTATATCTCTCGGTTGTCCATGACTATTACTTAGGTGCCCTTCCATTAGAAGTCCTCTGCATTGTTATTAGTAGCTCAATAGGCGAGTGCTAGTATTGTCTTGCCTGAACTAAACCTTACTTATCGACCTAAGAGAATAGTAATATTTTTTATGCGTATAGTTGAAATAAAAGGTTAAATCATACAAGATAAATACAGTTGAAAAAAACGTGATCAAGAAAGTTAGAGATCAACGACGCCCTGGTAAAATAAGATGTAAGAATTACAATAAAGAATATAAAACAATCTAGCGTGCCCGTTCCCGCGCGCTGATGCGGGACTAGCGGAAAGTCTGACAAAATTTCATCAACGCGTTACCAATCCTATATTCTTAGAGGCGTGACCTTGTTTTCCAAAACTGAGTTATTCAAATGTAAACCATGCCTGCGCTATATTTCTTAGATTATATTTTTCGTGGCAGTAGTTTGCCTACACTACTCCTCGGCACGCCCCAAGCGTAGTGTATGAAATCATTGAGTGTACGTTAATATATCTCAGTAACAGTGAGTTAGAACATCGGCGAAGGCCCAGGAGTCAGGGATGTAGAGTGGCGCTCTCGGGAGCACTGGTTACACTACCGCAGGTACGCCGAGTACGGCCCCTGGCTCTGTTTAATCAACAAATGTCGTGTGCCGCCGTGTCAATATTATAGGAAGCTCCAATTTTTGAAATTGTGGATCTGTTAAAAACACAGGCTTTAATGCCCAAAGACCGCCAACGGACCCAAATATTGAAAATTCATAATAAATTACTTTGAAGATATGCACTTAAAACTAATAGCCGGATACCCAAAAATATGACAGAAGATTATACATTCGTTGTTCACGAGGCTTAAAATATGGTAATTTATAAATGGTTGAACTACTACAAAGGGGTTAAATATTCAAGATGGCCGCCATGGTCATGATTACTAAGATTTTTCCACCAATATTTTTTTAATGGATACACATGTAGGCCTACAGATGTACATTTAAAAAGTTGTAGGGAAAAAATTGTTTGCTCTCTAGTATAAAAAAAAACAACTTTTTTAACGGTGTCTACCCCTTTATATACCGTATATGGAGAAGAATCAAATTGCGCTCTGTAGGAGCGCTATCCCTGCGAATTAAAAAAATTGTTTTCGCAGAAATCGCACCAGGAATATTCTCAACGACTTCCCAAAGTTTAATGGCGATCGGATTAAAGGTTTAGTAATGCATAAAAGACAAACAGACAGACAAATAGATACACTTGCATTGCATTTTATATTTATATATATAAGTGTAATCAGCGATGTATAATCCTGGGTACTCGTTACAAATATACTCCTCCAGAGAATTTATATATATATATATATATATATATATATATATATATATATATATATATATATATATAAATATATATATATATATATAATGTATATATACTAGCCGTCACGGCAAGCCCTGCACTGGCCTCTGTAAAAAACCTATCTGTAAAGGACCACATGTGTGTCTTTTGAAATCAGCATGGGGTCGGCGTGGTCGAGTGGGTTAAGCTTATGGCTGCTAAACCGAAAAAGTCTCGAGTTCGAACCCTCGGGCAGATGAGGCTCGTTAGCTGGGGACAGTCACTCTTCTAGGAGAGACAACTCCAAAATCAAACAACAGCTGCCTTGTAGTTTGTTGTTCTCAATGGCGCATAACCAGTTGACATGTATCCTTAATTGTGATGGAAAAAAGCTCATAATTGATAAATTCGAAAAAGTCTCGAGTTCAAACCCTCTGGCAGATAAGGCTCGATCCCTTCCAACACTAAAAATTAAGAACGAAAAAGAAGAAGAAGAAATCAGCATGAAAACATATTAAAAAAACCCAAACATAACACAAACACAAATACAAACACAAACTCAAAGTGCTCACAGTCTAACTTAGGGCGCCAAATCGTAAAATGCTGAGGCGCCTGATTTAACTTAGTAAACAACTATAGTACCCCAAACTATTATTAGTCTTATGCGCTCATTTAAACGAACGTAGGCGCCATAGCGGGGGCCGGGGCGTCAAATAGCACCCTTTTGGGTGGATGATTGCGCATCGGAAATCTAAGCACAATACCAGTGCAATTGGACGAGAACAGCCAGATGCTTATCTGTCAGACCGCTCTCTCCATACAGCTGAATGACAACAGGGAAAGAAACTTGTCTACATCTTGCAATCCTGTTAACATTGGAGTTTTCTCCCCTAGCTTGGCTGCTGACCCCAGATGACGAGTCTCGTCTGCTCGAGGGTTAAAACGATGTATCTAGGCATTTTTATTATACAGCAACAAAAAAAATCTGCTGAATTCCAGCTTTTCAAGCTAATGTACTAAATCACGGGTTCCCAACCTGGGGGTCGCGACCCCAATCGGGGTCGCGAAGGTCTTACTGGGGGGTCGCCAACTGGTATACTAAACCTTAGTAATTTGAAACAAAACATAAATATTTAGAATAATTTTTTAAATTCGGCTTCATTAACATCACTGGAAATGTAATAGAGAAGAAACAAAGCGCACTGTATAAAGTTGTTCTCAGTCACGCATCTATGAAATCTTCAAAACTAAAACGTCATTTGAGACGAGTCATTCGGAACACACAAAAAATATATGGAGTTTTTTCGTCGGTAAGAAGCTAGTTGCAAACGCAATAGACTTGATCGAACAGGAAGTTTTCACCAGCATTAGTGCAAGCATCAAATGAAGTCGCGATTGAAAATGCCAAGCAAAAAAAAAACAATAGGAGAAAATCTCATAAAACGCTGCATGTACGTAAATGTTAAATAACATATTTTTATTGAAAATAAGCTTTCACCATTGTTTGCTTTTCAAGTTGATAAATCAACAGACGTGAGTTCGTGTTGGCAGTTGCTGGTCTGTGTCTATATTCAAAGAAGAGTTGCTATTTTGTGGAGATAGCATCGAGAAAATAAATACGTTTTTTTTAAAAACGGGATGATTAAATGGGTTAGAACGGCTTTGGGGGTTTGTACGGATGGTGCGCCATCTATGTTTAGCTCAAAATCGGGCTTTCAGAAAACAGAAAAGATTTAGCTCCCTAACCACTGAGCAAAAACATTAATACAGATCACGAGGTTCTGCTCTTCAACACTACAGTACGCTGGCTGTCAAACGAAATGTTGTAAATTGTGTTTTTTAATTGAAATCTGAAATCAAATTGTTCTTGGAAGTGCAAAGGAAACAAGACTTTTTGGTATACTTAAAACGACATAGAGTGGTTGGAGAGAGTATCATACCTAGCAGATGTGTTCGAACATCAAGATAAGCTTAACCTGAAGATTCATGGAAAATGAACGAATATTATAACTTTCCAAGAGCTGCAAAATCGGTAAAGAAAATAAATCTTGGAAATATTGTAAATTTGAGAAACTCTGCGGTGTGGTAGATGAACCGGATTGTGAGATAATTAAACATTTAAAAGAAGCGATTTCTGGGCATCTTGAATCTCTTGAAAACGAACTGCATCGCCATTTCTCTGAGCTGAAAAAAAGAAGAATATGCCTTTACGCATTACCCATTCTCTTCTTCCCTTGATGTTGCCAGCATTCCCGATGAATTACAAGATAAATTCTTTGATTTGCAGAATGATTCCGAGTAAGATGAAAAACTGCAGACACAATTTTGGTGTAGTATTTATTCACCATTCATACCCAAACGTAAAATTGATTGACTTTTCGAGAATATATTTTCAACACTATTCTTCGATTAAAAAGAAAATTAAGATAATTATAATGACATAGGTTGGCGTTAACAAAAATTTAAAAAAAATTAAAAACTTAACCACGAAGGTTTAGTGAATAGTATGCAATTTTACTCATGCTATTAAAACAGTTATCAAGAGTAGTTCATATTAAAAGTCTACTAGAAAATCTTATTTTAGTGCTTATTACTTTCCATACTAATTTCGGCTTTTTAATTCTATGGGGGTCGCGAGTCACTTACTTTTTATAAAAGGGGGTCGGCACTCGAAAAATGTTGGGAACCACTGTACTAAATGAACTTTATTTCTTAAAAGAAATGCACGATTTTCAAACCAGCACGAACTTTAAAAAAAACTATTAACATCCAGTCCTAGAATATTATATCTAATAACCCCAAGATAAGGAACAAATGACTTGGCTGTTCTAAAAGTTTGGAAAAAGAAATAGAAACATCATAGATCGTGTATTTTTACAGGTGTTGCTAAGATAAGAGAGGTCGCAGCGGGGCGGGTAAAATATCCAAGTGTACAGGAGGAATAGGGTAAACTAATAGAGTTGTAAGAAATAAACGGTAAAGTATCTAAGTGTTAGAGGCGAATGCGGTACAACATTTAAATATCAGACGAGACGTACGATTAATTATGTACATGTAGAGGAAACACATACATTAAGTGTAGGGAAGACATATAATAACTAGCTGCATACCCGTGCTCCTCCACAAAAACAATCCAAACACAAAAACAGGTGCGCAATGGTCTTTAGTCATGTATCTCTAGTGTAAATAAAACATGTAGGCCCTACACTACTAAAATTTTTTTTCATTAAAACAGCTTTTAATAACAAGCTTTTTTGTAATAATGCACTAAAAAGGAGAAAATAAATTTTAGACTATTATTTAAATAACTATAAAGAAAAGCGTGGGTCTCCTCCTAAATATTAGTAAAGGTATCCAATAGAAACTAAAGTGACCCACGCTTTTCTTTATAGTTATTTAAATAGTAATCTATATATATATATATATATATATATATATATATATATATATATATATATATATATATATATATATATATATATAGTACTATTACTATTCAAGTTGTTCATATTTTTACTTTAATTTGAGTTATAAATATGTATTTATATTTATTTATAGTCTTTCTCTGTCTCTCTATCTTGATATATATATAAATATATATATATATATATATATATATATATATATATATATATATATAAACCTAGATGCGCCTATGAACTATGCATATGCCAATGACCCAATCACTTCTTTAAATCCGGAAGGCATTTTTTTTTACCTCAGGAAATAAGGGTTAGTTAGTACGAAAAAAAAGAAAGTTAATTAAAAAAACCAAAGTTTTTTTTTATTTTTAATCTTCGATACATTTCAACTTAAGCTTATTTTTCAAGTACGATTGCAGAACAACACGACTTGTAGTTAGAATCATTGGCGTAGCTCTGCTGTTCTCACGAGTGGTATGTATATGTATATGTATATATATATATATATATATATATATATATATATATATATATATATATATATATATATATATATATATATATATATATATATATTAGTCGTTTCATCGGTTAAGACAGAAAATAAATAATCAGATGTAATTTTTGCAGCCATCTATCGAACAAGTTATTTGTTACACACACTTAACACGTTATTCTGAAATGTTTATTTACATTTCTTTCATTTTCTAGATGATGTTTAAGTGTTTAGTCACCGAAGCGTGAATTTGAAATTGTTTGAAAGATTGAGGGAAACACACACGCTTTGCCTGCCAGTCGCGTCTGGGGGTACAACAAACTAGACAACTAAACATCGCTTAATAGATCTAACCTTGATTATCTTATTCTTGGCTACTGCGTTCCATATTATTTGAATTAACTTCCCACGATATTAATAACCGTATTGAAGAACTACGTGTGGTTCTCTTTCTAATAGTATATATTGTTGTTCTAGAGCACGGGTTCCCAACCTGGGGGTCGCGACCCCAATCGGGGTCGCGAAGGTCTTACTGGGGGGTCGCCAACTGGTATACTAAACCTTAGTAATTTGAAACAAAACATAAATATTTAGAATAATTTTTTAAATTCGGCTTCATTAACATCACTGGAAATGTAATAGAGAAGAAACAAAGCGCACTGTATAAAGTTGTTCTCAGTCACGCATCTATGAAATCTTCAAAACTAAAACGTCATTTGAGACGAGTCATTCGGAACACACAAAAAATATATGGAGTTTTTTCGTCGGTAAGAAGCTAGTTGCAAACGCAATAGACTTGATCGAACAGGAAGTTTTCACCAGCATTAGTGCAAGCATCAAATGAAGTCGCGATTGAAAATGCCAAGCAAAAAAAAAAAACAATAGGAGAAAATCTCATAAAACGCTGCATGTACGTAAATGTTAAATAACATATTTTTATTGAAAATAAGCTTTCACCATTGTTTGCTTTTCAAGTTGATAAATCAACAGACGTGAGTTCGTGTTGGCAGTTGCTGGTCTGTGTCTATATTCAAAGAAGAGTTGCTATTTTGTGGAGATAGCATCGAGAAAATAAATACGTTTTTTTTAAAAACGGGATGATTAAATGGGTTAGAACGGCTTTGGGGGTTTGTACGGATGGTGCGCCATCTATGTTTAGCTCAAAATCGGGCTTTCAGAAAACAGAAAAGATTTAGCTCCCTAACCACTGAGCAAAAACATTAATACAGATCACGAGGTTCTGCTCTTCAACACTACAGTACGCTGGCTGTCAAACGAAATGTTGTAAATTGTGTTTTTTAATTGAAATCTGAAATCAAATTGTTCTTGGAAGTGCAAAGGAAACAAGACTTTTTGGTATACTTAAAACGACATAGAGTGGTTGGAGAGAGTATCATACCTAGCAGATGTGTTCGAACATCAAGATAAGCTTAACCTGAAGATTCATGGAAAATGAACGAATATTATAACTTTCCAAGAGCTGCAAAATCGGTAAAGAAAATAAATCTTGGAAATATTGTAAATTTGAGAAACTCTGCGGTGTGGTAGATGAACCGGATTGTGAGATAATTAAACATTTAAAAGAAGCGATTTCTGGGCATCTTGAATCTCTTGAAAACGAACTGCATCGCCATTTCTCTGAGCTGAAAAAAAGAAGAATATGCCTTTACGCATTACCCATTCTCTTCTTCCCTTGATGTTGCCAGCATTCCCGATGAATTACAAGATAAATTCTTTGATTTGCAGAATGATTCCGAGTAAGATGAAAAACTGCAGACACAATTTTGGTGTAGTATTTATTCACCATTCATACCCAAACGTAAAATTGATTGACTTTTCGAGAATATATTTTCAACACTATTCTTCGATTAAAAAGAAAATTAAGATAATTATAATGACATAGGTTGGCGTTAACAAAAATTTAAAAAAAATTAAAAACTTAACCACGAAGGTTTAGTGAATAGTATGCAATTTTACTCATGCTATTAAAACAGTTATCAAGAGTAGTTCATATTAAAAGTCTACTAGAAAATCTTATTTTAGTGCTTATTACTTTCCATACTAATTTCGGCTTTTTAATTCTATGGGGGTCGCGAGTCACTTACTTTTTATAAAAGGGGGTCGGCACTCGAAAAATGTTGGGAACCACTGTTCTAGAGGCTGTAACCATGAGTATTTGGTGAGTAAACATCAAATATTTGCGACACAAGTCCACCGTCGCCAATAGCTGTAGCATAGATAGACGTAAAAGACTAGTTAATATTATTTTTTTTTGGGGGGGGGGGGGGGGGTCTCATTGCCAACGCCACTGGTTGGAATCAAAAAATTGTGTAAGTATCGATTCGTAATAAAAAATTAATATTCTCCAATATCAACACGTTTTTAGACCACAGGTCCATGACATGACCCACGGGCTATAAAAACAGGACCAGACAGTTGATCTTTACTTTACAGTTCCAGAACACCATGAGGACCTTCGCTCTTCTCGCTGTTGCCATCTTTGGCTGGTCAGTTGTCCGCTTGTTAGATTTCAGTTCATTTTTTTGTAATCTGTTTTTTTTTTGCGTGGTATTTAGGATGTCAGTTTTATTTTTGTCGTGGTATTTAAGTCGCCTGTCTTGTTTTTAAATTCCTATTAATTTTTTTTGGTAATGATAATGTATTTACATGCTGTTTTTTTGTTCGAGACTCACCAGTTTAGATTGACTTATTCTTGCCTTTCTCTGTGTTAAGGTACATATTTACGTTTTGTTTTATGCTAGTGTTTTTTTTTTCGATTTTGCTTAAATAGCAATTTAATTAATAAAACCACAAAACAAATATAGACTTCAAACTTTATATTTCCAGTGTGGTTGCCCAGCCTGGTGGCGGAAGCGTCAACTTTGACGACCTCTTCAGAAGATATGCCGGAAATGACAATCTGCTACAGAGAGCTGAGTTTGACAGATTCTGGCTTCATTTTGACGACGATTGTAAGTCACAAGACCGTTGGTCTCTGGTAATATTTGTAAATTTGGTTTAGATGAGAGTTGAGAGGATATGGATAATTATTAAGAGGAAAAAATAGCTTTTATGTTTTTATTTGATCCACCCTGGTAGATGCTTAGGAGAAAGATTATAATTGATCTTTGAATGTTAAATGATCATCAATTTGAATTCATTATGAACAGTTCAATATTAGGAACATAGTTTGCTATCCTTTTTTTTGTTGACAAGCCGCATTATTCAGAATGTTAAAATATCACAAATAAAAAATCTCTTTACAAACGAGAAATTAAATGCACTTAAAACAAACTTGCTTTCAATATTAAAAAATGTGTTAGAGATCACATGAATGACCACAGCTTTTATTAGGTAAAGCAGGGTTGTTTTATCTTCTTAATTTCGGTGCATTTAAAAGTTTATTATAAAGGTTTATTTATTTGATAAATTTCCATTTTTTAAGTATTTGTTTACTAAATAGACAGCGGCAAATAAATATTTGCCTGAAAACCTGTCCATTAGTTGTCGAGCTCTAAAAGACAGTTATCTGCCCCTAATTGGTTTTTGGTCGCAGCGTAAGAGTGAGGTCAGCTAAGCGATAATACAGATCACGGTTGTAAACAGGCTGATTGAGGAATCGCTTGAAACGTGTCACTAAATTTAGACTTGTTTAAAATTTAAAAAAATTAATAATTGTCTATCTAATTAGATTTTAAAATCGATATTCATGCATTGCCATAAGAAAAGTTAATCATTTAGTCAGAAAACTTGTTTCTTTATTATACATTAATGGTAAATGAACATTGTAACATGCATTGTTCAACTGTAAACTGCAAAAAGTATAACTTGTATCTTAACAAACAAACTAACAAATCTACACAACAGCTGACGGTGATGTGACCAAACAAGAATTTGACCAGGGCTGGAGACAAGAAGGTTTCCCCAACCCCCAGAACGCCCCACTCTACTTCCTCGAGCTGGACAGAGTCAACGATGAGGTCCTCAACGTCCTCGACTTCCCACACATCTTCCGCCTGTTCGATGAGGATGGTAAGTGACAACACGTTCTTTTTGGTGTTTGTGATCATTTTTATTTCAACTACTGTTGAAACTCAAACTGCTGTATTACAAACTAGACTGCTGCATTACAAACTAGACTTCTATTTTACAAACTAGAATGCTATATTACAAACTACACTTTCTATATTACAAACTAGACTGCTTCATTATTAACTTGGCCGCTTTATTACAAGCTTGAACGAAGAGTAACAAACCGAACCGCTATGTCGCCGACTAAGTGTCTCGCGATCGCTGGTTCAAGCGATGACCGGAAAATGTTCAATGTAAAGCTGCACATATTAAAGTGCGCCTATTAAAGAGCATTTTTTTTCTTAAATCAAGCATTTATTGATATTAGCTAAGTATGAGCACATGTACATTCTAGCACATTAAAACATTTTTCCATGATAAATGACAAAATTAATGTGTATTAGTATGATAAATGTGAATTTGCGCACTTTTTTTCCGTTTGCCCAGTAGTCTAGTGGTTTTAATGAATGACATATGAACCAGTTACAGACGGGACTTTCTTTTTCAGTGTGGGGATTTAAGCGTAGTGATTGTAGAAAGCGCGATTGTGGGAGATATATAGATATCCAAGGAGATGGAGAGATCGAAGGAGATCAATACAATAAATCTCGCGTGTGGTTATTCACATTTTTTCACTCTTTGCCCAGTGTTGTGAACGAATAAATTACCCCCCCTCCCCCTTTAGCGTTAACAACCCAAGCCACTGGTCAGCATACAGACTTCACTTTTAATGTCCAAGCTGTCTTTGGAAACGATCATTAACTGTCAACCTCCTCCTCCTTTTCGTATAGTACTTTATTATTATCCCTAGCTGGTGGCTAAGGATGTTCCCCCGATTATACCTATAAAATTGTAGTCCGTTCAATTATATTGCTAACATTTGAGCAATAAGAAACTATTTATATCTAACTATATAGTTTAGTTGTCACTAGAGCTTCATCACTCAGTTTCTATTGTAAGTATATAAAATATTATTGAGACGATATTTAACGAATAAACTATTTGGAACTTTTTTTCCCCAGGCAATGGTGCCATCAGTGAACGAGAAATGAGATATAACTGGAATGCTTATTTCGACTAAACTGTAATGTTTGTTAATTTCATATGATCAAGCTACTAATTTCTTTGCCATGCTAGATTTTTGAAAATAAATGTGTATCTTTAAAGGCGTATTATGTATCCATTATTAATATTAGTATAATAAATTAAGTTTCGTAACGAAGACAAAATGGCTGGCTACCATAACGGTGGCTGGAGGAGGGGGGGGGGGGGTAATTGGGTGAGGGCTTCCGCCCTAGGCGCTGACCAATGGGGGGGGGGGCGCCAAAAGCTTAGAAAAAATAGTCTAAAAGCTCATTTGAAGCTTTGAAATATAAACAGTCAAAGTTAAGAAATTTAATGGCTCTGCATTCTGTTTTAACTGTTTTCTACATCGATTTTGTAACTGTAAAACATATACCCTTAAGATTTCCAGCTTTCCTAGGTATTAGGGGCGATGGGGGGGGGGGGGGGCACTTTTTCGAAGACTAAAATCGGTAAAATTTACACTGGATTAGTGAGTAGATAACCGTCATCACTTAGAAAAGAAATAAATTGTACTAAAGCGTATTTTACGATTGTGTAACATTCAAAATAAATCAGGTGTGATCTCCCCTAAACTTTCTCGAATATTTTTATATAACACTACGGGGGATGGCAACTCAGGATATAGACATGATTTTTAATTACTTAAACTTTTTAAAATAGAATAGAACCTCGTAAATAAACCGGGAGTGATCTCCCCTAAACTTTCTCGAATATTCTTATATAAAGCAACAGGGGATGGGAACTCCATTTTAAATACTTAAAGATTTTAAAATAGAATAAAATCTCGTAGAAAAAAGAATTGCAGACCAGGTGAACGCCAAATGAAATGTGCATAATAATGCGCAATATTATTAGTACTTTATAAATTCACATGCGTTTTTTTGAGAAATTAGAAATAGCGTAAATTAGTACTTCCGGTGAAAGGAAATTACTCAAAATTTGAAAAAAGGTAGAGAATTAGATCTTATACTTACCTGTGAAATTTCATTTATCTATCTGAAATAGTACTCAAGTTATAGGCCTTTGAAAAATTCAAAGTAGAAAAAGTACCACTTTCGGTTATCGGAAATCGCTCAAAAGTTGATACGGATCTACGATTTTGATAAAATACTTATATATGAAATTTCATCAACCTAGCTGTAACAGTACTCAAGTTATCGTGTTTACACAACTCACAGACACACAGACACACAGAAAGACACACAGACTTTCTCTATACTTTGTATATACGAGAAAGTAAAAAAGGATTGCACACCATGTGAACACCAAACAATATGTGTATACTAATGCGGATTATTTTTTAGTACTTTATACATTCTTATGCATTTTTTTGTTTTGAGAAATCGGAAATAGCGTAAATTACTAGTTTCGGTGAACGGATATTACCCAAAATTGTTGTCAGAAGGCAGAGAATTAGATTTTTTAAATACATGTGAAATTTCATTTATCTATCCGAAACAGTACTAAATTTACAAGCTTTTGAAAAATTGTAAGTAGAATTAGTTCCACTTATGGTTATCGGTAATCGCTGAAAAATTGACACAGAATTACAAATTTGATATAATACTTATGTTTGAAGTTTCATCAACCTAGCTGTAACGGTACTCAAGTTATCTTGTTTACACACACACACATAATCACACACACAGACATACGGACAGAAATGCGAAGTCCAGTTTTTCCGACTAGATTACACACAAAACGCCAAAATATATCTGATATATCTCGATTTATGAATATTGCCCGAATAAAATAAGTCCTCTATACTCCAGATGTGATGAAGGACTGAGGTGTAAAGCGGTGAAAACTGTCAAAATGTTATGTGATTTTTGTGCACGATTACAATACTTTCTCTATACTCTGTATACGAGAAAGTAAAAAGAGTTAGTGACCTTTAAAATCCGCTCTACCAACTTTGCCCAATATGGTGGGGAGGGGGTGAGGGGCGCTTTTTCACCAAAAAAAACCCGAAGGATTTGTACTGGATCGGTGGATAGATAACTCTTTTAACATTTAGAAAAGAAACCAATTGTATTAACGCTTAATGTATGATTTCACTACCCAGTTTTGCCAAGAAAAGACGCAGCTAGTTCTTTGTACGATTCTTACGATTCTCTCAATTTTAATGTGAGAGATCAGATACTTTTACTTGATTTCATTACATCTTACCTGGATCACTTCATTAAAAAGAAATAAATTTCAAAGATTCTTGTATCGCTATCTGATCAGTAAAACAGCAGACTGTCTGGGCGGGCGGTGGAAAGCGACACTCTTTGCCAAAAGTTTAAAGAGAGAAGAAAATTAGTATAATGTACTGAATAGATAATTTTTATTGCTTTTTTCATAACATTTTGTTCAACCTAACTGATAATTTTAAATTGTAATATACTATTATCGAAATTGTTCTAAAGACACGACCAAAAGTAGACCAAATAAGCATTTACCTTCTACAAAGTACACTCTAAAGCAGCGGTTCTTAACTTTTTCGAGGTACCAAACCTTACCAGTTTCATATGCGCGTTCACCAAACACTTCCAGTTGTATCGTAAACACTGACAAAATCTGATCGTGAATCATATGAGTCGGAGTCTTGACCCTCCGCGGAAGCCCAGAGACTGAATTACCGAAACTCTTGGGTTTAATGGAATTCAATGTTCTAAACTCTTTTGAATTTCTTCTTTGTATTTGTTTCGGCTTCCTAATGGGCATAGGCGTAGGCAATACTTCATCAGCTCACTTGAATTTTATGAAGTTGAACCCTAATAATCCAGCCTCCCCCTTCTCTATTTCAAACGATTTCCTTCAGGCCTTATTCGGCCTTATTCGGTCTTTTTCTCTTCCTGTTTTCACGTGGACTTCACCCAAGCACCTGCATAGTGATGTTATTTTTTGTCTTTCTCATATTGTGCCCTAACCACCACCTTTTCATTCTACACTGTCTATAACCTAGCCCCGAGCCATACAGTAAAAGATAACTCATCTATATACTACTAAAACTCAAGTTTGTTTACATGTTTGAGTATTTCTTTTTTTGTTTGTTTTTTGGTTTGTTTTATTGTTTGTCTGATTGACTACTGGAGAGAATCTGCGCTATGGGGAGAGCTGTAAAATAGTATGTAGGTAGAGAACAATTTTTGTTTTCAGACAGACTGTCAATCACAAATTTATTTAAAGACGTTCATTAATCTATTGATTTATTCATTGGTAGATTAACCACATTAATTTTAAAAGTTTAGAAAAACGACTTTACTTTGAGTGAATAGTGACGTCACATGATTTGTTTACTTTTTACATCAATAATGGCGGCTTCTATCGAAGAAGGTTGTTTTCCCATTCCAATGTTTAACGCGTTCTAAAGCTAATTTTCTGTCGGCTATAGCTTTAATGATACGTCCGTTTGCTGTTTTTATTACGTTCCAACACTTAGATCAATTTTCAACTTTCTTTTTCATTTAGTTTTACAATAACATTCTCTAGCTCTACAATCTGTCCAAGAAAGCTATTTATAGATCTAAATAATTTATAGATCTAAATATTAGGTGGCCAAGAAAGTTATTTATAGATCTAGATCTAGAATCTAGGTCAAACCAAAGATTAATTAGTTAAAAATACAATCCATTTTAAAATCATAATACATTTTTGAGTTTCTTTATTAACCTACTTTAGTCCTAATATACTTGATGCAAATCTTTGTGATTTATCTATCTAGATCTAGAATATGTCTAATCTAGCATCAAAGACGTCACGGGTCTAGATAGCTAAGTTGTTAGTGTAATCGGCTTTCATGCGGGTGGCACGGTTTCTAGACACATCACGGTAATGTAAAAAAAAAATTCAATTTGTTTATTTAGATGTGAATGATAAAGTCGTCTATCTGAACTTGGCAGGATACAGTGCCCGTGAAGTAGAGTTCATCTGTTTTTTTGTCCTAGCATATGAAAGGATAGTGTGGTCAGAGACATGCTAGGCCGGAGTCGTTTTTTTTAAACGATAAAAACATGTTGTCTGAGACTTGGTGGCAGAGGCGTAGCGACCCTTCCCGGCGCCCGGGGACAAACTTTCGATTTGCACCCCCTCTCGAACATTTGATTTGCAACCCCATCCCCTCAAACTTTCGATTTGAACCCCCCCCCCCCATCCTCGAACCTTTCATTTGCGCCCCCCCCCTCAAACTTTCGATTTGCACCCACCCTCGAATTTTTCATTTGCACCCCCCTCAAACTTTCAATTTGTTTTTCCAACCAATATGTCCCCCCGCCCCCCCCCCTCGCTACGCCTCTGCTTGGCGGGACACTGGGCAGGTGAAGTAGAGTTGAGTAGGTCACCTGTGACGTCAGTATATGAAAGGATAGTGTGGTCAGACCTATGCTCAGCAGAAATCGGTGTTTTTAAAAGATAAAAAACGTCTTTTTGAATGTGGGGTCTTGTTATTTTGTGATGATAAGTGACAGACGTGATGTCATTTATGGATGACCCCCGAAACCCACAGTTATTTAAGGGATGACCGGGTAAGTCTAGTATTTTTTTTAAAATAAATACGGTAGCGCCCCGGCAGGGCGTGATTTGTTTTTTCTCTATATACGGTTTATAAAATAAAAGTCGATTGCGGTTTCACATCGTTCTTCCGATCGCCATCAAACTTTGGGGAGTTGATTAGAATACTCTAGGTGAGGTTTCGATAAAAAAAAATGTTTTTAATTTCGCAAGGCTGGCGCCCCTGGAGGATGCGATTCTTGTCTATATACGATAAATAAATAGAAATGAAAGTCGGATGCGGTTCGACACCGTTTATCAGAGTGCCATAAAACTTTAGGTAATTGATGAATACTCCCGAGAAAGTTTCTAGGGGAGGGGGGGGGGGAGATTTAATTTCGCACGGGAGGCCCCAGGCATGATGTGATTTGGCGCCCTGGTCTTTCCCATGAGCGCTATGGCGACTAAGTTCGTTCTAAACATTGTGAAAGACAATGGATAAGATGGGGCACTCACTATATTGAATTAGGCGTGTCCGCCGGCGCCATGGTAGGGTGCGATTTGGTTGCGAACAAAAAATTCAGTTTCGGCCCCCAAAGGCTCACATGGGC